TGTAGGAAACTTCATTGCCAAATAGTAGGTGGAGACCACTGCCCGCAAGATATGCGTAATTGGCCGCCCTATTATGGCATTGTATGGGGAGGGGGTCGCAACCACCAGGAAATCATGGTTGAGTCTGACCGCACAAGGCCATGTGCCGACTTCCACAGGTACTGTTATTTTCCCGAGGGGCCTGACTTCCTCTYCGCTGAAGCCCAMCAGAGGAGTGTTCGCGGGCTTCAGCTCGCTTCTCTGCAACTGTAGCTGGTCAAATGCTGACTTGAAGAGGATGTCTGTCAAGCTGCCCGAATCCACAAGTACGCGCTTGACCTCGAAGTCGCTTATCCTTAGTTTTATGACAAGTGCGTCATCATGGGGGTAGTGGACCCCTCGTGCATCGTCTTCCATGAAGAATATTGGTTTTTCCGTCTTCGGCCTCTTTGGAGGGTTTTGGTCTTCTCAGGCTGCTTCGCGAACTGACATCCGAGTCGCTGCCAAAGTACAACCTACTACCACCGAACCTCCCACTATTACATGGATGGTTCCCCGAACTGGCCTCTCTTCCGGAGGCTGTCATTGCAATGGTTCGGCTGGCCTGCTGCTGGGTTCGGGGGCATCCCTTCCGTGCTCCCCTTGCCGACCTGCCTTATTGTTATTATTATTATCATGCTGTACAAAATTTCTCAAGTATCCGCGACGGATGAGTCCCTCTATCTCGTCCTGGAGATTATTACACTGTTCGGTACTATGACCGTGATCTCTATGGAAACTACAGTACAAGTTTTTATTTCTCTCGTTTGGGTTCCACTTTAGGCGAGGTGGCCGTTTCACGTATGGGGCATCTTTGATCGTCATCAAGATCTCGGTACGCCTCATGTTTAACGGTGTGTAGTCCATCCGGACTGCTAAGGGAGCCCAGAACGGCTGGCTCGGCTTCGGCTCCCGGGCCAGGTTTTTTCTCTTGTCGACTGGGTTGGAGGGCTCACCTTCCCTCTTTCTTTTCTCGATCCCACTTTCGGTCCTTTGGTTGATCTCTTCCTCTGTTCTCATGAACTTATCCGCGAGCTTGAGGAATTCGGCCACGATTGCGGGCTGATTAGCTACCATGTGCCATTTGAACTCCTTGTGGGTTACTCTTCTCTTGGCCGCTGCGAGCTGCACCGCGGGGTCCAATCGCAGTATCTGCAAGCATGCGTCATTGAATCGCTTGATGTAGCCCCGAATAGACTCTCCTTCCCTCTGGACTACTCCAAAGATGCTCTCCTCGGTTATGGGGCATCGCTTGCTGGTAACAAAGTGCGCGGTGAAGACCTGCACGAACTGGGTCCAACTTCTTATCGACCCTGGGGCCAGGTTCCTGTACCAAGTGCGGGCCACCCCCTGAAGGTGGTGGTGAAGGTCACGCACATGCACGATTCACTGGCCATAGCTAGGTGCATTTGGGACTGGAAAGCGTCGACGTGGTCGTTAGGGTCGAAGGACCTGTCTTACTTGTCTAGAGATGGGAGCTTGAAGTCTCTGGGCATGGGGACTGTCAGGAGTTCCGATGCGAGGGGGGAAGGAACTGAGAGAATCGGGGCGGCTTTTACCTCGTCCGAGCTTGTCTCTTCTTTACCTCTGAGCTTAGGCAGGACACGGGTGGTAGTTCGGCAACCTCACCGGCGCCTTCGTTGCTGAGTGGGCCTGGTGCTGGCGCTGCTGGCCTCTGTGTTGCCGAGCTTGATGGGCCCGGGCTGTTGGTAGTCTGCTGATAGGACGCTGAATCGATTCTTTGTCAGCGGGAGCTCAGACTTGGTGTGCCGAGATA